AGGAGAATACAGGCTTAAAAGGAAGCTATTGAGTTAAAGAGCTATCGAGTTAATCCCTTTGTCTCAGGCCAAATCAGTTCCTGATGATGGTGCTGAGTAAGTAGCTGAGTTTTACTGGGAGKGGCCCATCTGTCCTGCTGGCAGAGGTGCACGGCAGCTCTAGAGGAGAATAAAGCTCTTCAGTGCTGAAATAGGGTGAGTGCAGAGTGGTGAAGCAAATGAGGGAATTATGGTTAACCATCACCCAGCTTCATAGGCAGGTTTTGCAGCTGACAGTGAATTCTGACAAGGTTTCTAGCACATTTGAATCTAGTGCAAGGATTAGAGTCCTACCTTATTCAAGAAAATATGCTCATTTTGATTTCTGTGCGGAGAAGGATCCCCAAATTCAGAATTTATTCAAGAAGCATTTTCTCAGTTGCTTTGAGTTCAGACAGATGGTCAGTTTGAACCCAGGATTGTAGCATTTATAAACCTTTGTACTGAATAAAGCAGTGTCATACGGTATGTAATTGGAAAACCAGCATGTTTGCTATTCTTTTTATTCTTGATGTGTTCTTCTGCCTGTATGATTATGGTGTTTGCTTGTCTCAACGTGGGAGTGACATTGTAGAAATACACCAAACATGATCTGAATGTGTCCGAAGGAGAGCATGGAGCTGGTGAAAGRTCTGGAGCACAAGTCCTGTGAGGAGCAGCTGAGGGAGCTGGRGGTGTTTAGCCTGGAGGAAAAGAGGCTCAAGGGGAACCTTAGGGCTCTCTACAACTACCTGAAARTAGTGGGCTGTCAGTCTGTYCTCCYAGGYATCAAGMGAAAATACCAGAGKAAAYGGCCTCAAGCTGSCCCTGGAGAAGTTTAGATTGCATACTAGGAAAAATTTCTTCARCAAGAATTGTCAGACTTTGACAGTGGTGAGCCTGTGTTCGGTTAATGGTTGGGCTGGATGTTCTTAGCGGTCTTTTTCCACCTAAATGATTCAGTGATTCCATGAATGGAGGACAATTGGGTGTCACTTGGGCGAGACAGTTCTCCCTGTCTATCTGTCATACAGCAGCAGAGCCAGCCTTTTGAGAGCCCTCCCCAAGGGCAGGGAGCCTTGCCCT